CTCGAGGTCGTGCAACGTCTGCGCAAAGGACTCCCGCCCTCCAAGACCTCTCGCTCCTGGTTGCACTAATTGTCTTGGCCTGCCCGTCAACCCCTGCAGTAGTGCATTCTGGAGTTTGGCTGGCGGCGGTGCGCAGTACCAAAAAAAACTCCTCCAATCCTGCTCCTCGACGTCCTTTTCCTCCTCCTCCTCCTCCTCTTTCCTCCTGTTCCTCCTCCTTCCTCCTCCTTCTCCTTTTCCTCCTCCTCCTCCTCCTCCTCCTCCTCCCCCCATCTTCTTCTGCCTGCTCCTCCGCGTTCCTCCTCCGCGTGCGGGTGCTCCTCGCCTCCTCTGTTCCTCCCCCCTCCCTTTTCCTCCTCTGATGCTCATCCTCGTTCTTCCTTCGCTGTCTCCCTTGGCCGCCCTCCTGCTCTCTCCTCCTGCTCATCCTCCCCCTCGTTTTCCCCCTCCTACTCCAGGTTTGTTTCGAAGTTGGCCCAGGCCTCCTCACCCGCATCCTCACCCGCATCACCCGTATCCTGCTCACCCGCATCCTGCTCCCTCACCCGCATCCTGCTCCCTCCTCACCCGCATCCTGCTCCCTCCTCTTCCTCCTCCTCCTCTTTCCCATCCTCCTCGTCTCCGCCTTCTTCCTTCTCCTCCGTTTTCGCTGCTCTTCTTCGCCCTTCTCTCCTCTTTCCTTCTTCTCCTTCTTCTGCCCTTCATCACTCTCTCACTGTACTTCTTTATGTTTCTCTCTCTCTCTCTCTATTATTACTATTATTCTTCGTAGTCTCTCTCTCTCTCTCACTGTCTCTCTCCCCTCTATCTCTTGATATGTCCCCTTTGTTTGATATACACATGTGTATATATATATATATATACAAATGTAAATGCCCCTTTCTTCGTTGAGTTTGTTTTGTTGTCCTTCTCCCTCGATCCAACTATATATATATATACCCCTCTCGCTCCTTAGTTGTTGGGTCCGTTATCTTTTTTTTCTCTCTCTCTCTCTCTCTTTCTCGTTCGCTCTTTTTTTGTTCTCTCTCTCTCTCTCTTGTTATCCCTCCTTCTCGTTATCTCTCTGGCGGCCAGCGCCACGTTATCTATCTCAAAACCTGCCTCATTCCCTCTCTCTCTATCTCTCCCGTCCTCATTTCCCTTCCCCTTCCCCCTCCCCGCCCTTGTTCCTGGTGTCGCTGGCCTTCGGGGGCTGTTCTCGCCGCCACGGCCAAAAGGCAGCGGCAGACAGACCCGCCAGGTCGGGCCAGGGACCGGCTTCGCGAGCGAAGCTTCGCCCTGACCGCATCCAGGACGGTTTTGTAGTCTCTCTCTCTCCACTGTGGATCGCGACTGGGCGAAGCATGACGAGCTGGACTGGGTGGTTCACGAAGCAGCACGAAGCACGAGCGCGCAGCCCCAGCTCACGAGAAGGAAGAGACGGATCCGAGGACACGCTCCAGAAACAAAAAAAACAAGAAACAAGGAAACGCCTTCGGCCCATCCTCGGCCCTCGGAGGAAGCCCGTGGAAGGGCGGAGGAAGCCAGCGGAAGTGAACTGGCGGCGCGGCGGCTCCGCCGGCGGCAGGCTGGGGGAAGGAGGGCTTGGGGGGGCGCGCAGCGGGGGGGCGATCGAGGGAGGCGGCAGCGAGGGCCGCAGGGAAGGGCTCCCCTTTGAGGGCCCCGGAAGGGGGTCTTCTAGGGCCCCAGAGGGGGGGGCCTTTCGGGCTTCGGGCCCGAAAAAGGCCCCGTTACCCCTCCCCCCTCCCCCCCCCCCTTCATGTGTCGCCTCCCATGAATTCGCGCCCAGGCAGCCGAGGGTAGAAGCGACACGGCATCACCTTGGGGGGTACGGCTGCGACGGGCGAGAGGGGGGCTCTTGGGGTGCTCGCCTGCGTTCTTCCGGGGCCTTTCGGCGTGCCGAGCGTGCCGCGGCGGTGGCCTCGTGTGGCGCTCGCGCTCCTCTATTGTTCTTCTCCATATTTCTCGTATAATTCTTACTATTATGTTCCTTCTTCTTGTGATTCGTATTCTTAATTTGTCTTACTATCCTTATTACTATCACTACTACTATTATTATTACTACTATTAATATTATTATTGTTCTTACTATTATGATTATTATTCTTATTATTTTGATTTTCTCTCCTGTCGGCCGTTATTGGCAGTCTTCTTCCTCCACTTCCCCCCTCTTCCTTTCCTGCCGTGTTCCTCCTGCTCTCGCTCTTCTGTCCTCTTCCCCCCCATTCCTTCCCCACTATCCCTCGGCTCCCTCCGATTCATTCTGGACGTGCGGGCTCCCTAGTTGGCACAGGCGCGCTCCCCAGCGGAGCCCGCACGACTCCGGCGTTTGTGCGCTCCGCCTCTGCTTTGCTATGTGTTCTCTTCCTCGTCCTCTTCCTCGTCCTCTTCCTCGTGATGCGCACTCCTCCACTCGGCAGTCCCTGGTTTTTCCGGCCCCGCCGTGCTTGGGCCGAGCCGCCTGGGTGGACAGTCGAGGAGGTCCTCGTCCTTGAGAGAGAGTCTTCGGGCCAGGTGCCCCCCCGTGAGCGGGGCCCCCTCTGAGCGGCGACGCCGCACGCCGCCGAGTTTGCCGCGCCTCTCTCTGAGCGTGGCTCCCTCGTCTCGTCGGCGGAGCCATTCGTGCCCCGCTCTTCCCCGAAATCCGCTGGCATCACGTTTTGCAGCCCGCAGCCCCCAGAGACCCCGACCGCTTCCCCTGGGGGCAGTCCTCCGTGCCGGATCAGTTTTTTGGCGGCCCCGGGGCCTGGCAGCGGCCCCCGAGGGCCGAGCTCGCGGACAGAGCTCCGAGCGCGAGCGCGAGCACGAAGCCATACGCCGTCCGGCGCGTGGGCGGGAGAGTCGGCGTTCGAGCTTTCACAGCCAGTGCGCCTGCTAAAGGGGCCGGGAGGAGGAGGAGGAGGAGGAGGAGGAGGAGGAGGAGAACGCTCCAGCCCAGACGCTCAAGTTGTTCGCCCACCGTGCCCAACGTAAAAAGGAGGAGGAGGAGGAGGAGGGCCAGGCGTAACCTGTTGGCCTCATGGCCTGAGTCGGCATCCGCCCTCTTTTTTCCGCACGAGCGCTGCAGCCACGACGCGCAAGCTCGCCCAGCACAGAGGGAGGAGGCGGAACCAGGACAGGGCTGGTGACGACGCCTCCTCGCAGATCTGGGTCTCTCTCTCTCTCTCTACGGGGCGTGAAAACGACCACAGCCACTGCTTTCCTTTTGCTGCCGCCTTCTAGCCCGCAGAAACAAAGCAGTGGTTGTGGTCATTTTCGTTGAGCTTGGCACCAGGGAAATGACCACAACCACTGCTTCTTTTTCGGCCGACTGGAAGGCGGCGCAAACAAGAAGCAGTGGCTGTGGTCATTTTCCCGTCCCGCACTCTCTCTCTCTCTGCCCAGGGATACGCGGGCGGCCCTGCCGGGTCGGGCCCCCCTCCCCAGACGTCCAGCGTGCCGGTGTGTTCGAGGCACGGGCCCCCGACCTTTCTCGACCACGCCCCCGGGGGCGGCTGCTCGCCCCGAGCCCTTCTGTTGACGGCCCCGACAGGCCTGGTATAGAAGGGCCACGGGAGGCCGCAGACGATGGAGCACCGCCGTGTGGATTTTGTTAAGCCAGGACGCTTCGGGAACGCCCCGGAGGCCTCCAGATGGGGTCGGAGTATGGTCAACGCACCGAGTAAGGATGCAGGCTGGTATCCAGGGTGCCCTTCTGTCCTGGCCTCTGCGGCCCGTCTTTTGTCTTTTTCGTTGACCCGCCGCCCAAATAATTCCAGCTTCGGGCCGACCAAAACTATATACACAGACGCCCTCCCATGGATTGTTCCTGGGCCTCAGGGCAGGATGGCCGCGTACAGATCGCCACTGCGAGCCAGCGACCTTATACACCGCCGCCCTCCTTGAAAGCACTTGCAAAATTAGTCGGAGGGTGTCTGTGTACATGTAATGAGTCTTTAGGACCCGTCCTTCAGCAGGGAGGAGGAATCATGGAGGAGGAGGACTAGTGCAAACCCACGAGTCATCAACGATGTTGGGATACACGGGTAAATCCTCCCGTCAAGCTCCCCCTTCATAGGCCCTGCAACTGTTCATTTTCCACAGACGGAACTGCCTCGTTGGAAGACAACCGTTTGAAGACCCTGAAGCATGCAAGAACATTGTTCTCGGGATTCCAACGCCACGGGTCAACTTGATTGTTGCGTCTTGACGATCCTGAACCGTGCCAGCACGCCATTCTTGGGACTTCAATGCCGCGAATCAAGGTAACTGTTGCGCCCTCCGAATCCCGAATCCTTCAAACACATCGTTGCTAGTCCGTTGATCGTGAGAACCCGTGAAACTTTTCAACTTTTTGAAATGAATGTGCGCAACGCTAAGGCGAGAGCCACAGTTTGAACAGGAACCGCCCTCAATCCGTGAGGGTTTCGCAACATTTTAAAACGACTGTGCGCGGCGCGGAGGCGAGAGCCACATTTTGTAAACGGGTCGCCCTTAATCCGCGAAGCTCTCTAATCTTTTAGAGCGAATGTGCGCAGCGCGGAGGCGAGAGCCACATTTTGTAGTCGGGTCACTCTCAATCCGCGAAGCTCTTGCAGTTTTTAAGACCGAATGTGCGCGGCGCGGAGGCGAGAGCCACGTTTTGAAAACGACAAGCCCTCCATCTGTGAAACTAAGCTTGAGGGTCATACATGATGAGGAACTCTCAGGCGGAACGCCCAGCCCGCCCTAAAAACTTGCTCCGAAGTGCGACAGGGAAAAGTTACTCATAAGGGAGATGAATGGAGGAGGAGGAGGAGGAGGAGGAGGAGGAGGAGGAGGAGGAGGAGGAGGAGGACGAGGGGGAGGGGAAGTAGGAGGGGGGAGGGGAGGGGGAGGAGGAGAGGAGGAGGAGGAGGAGGCGAGGGCGGCGCCGACCACGGGGTCGGACTGCTTCGAGGCACCGGGAGGTCTGGGGCCCCTCGTCCCTGGGTGCGCGGGCGGACGGCGGCAGGGACCGCCTTGCGGCGCGCCCGGCGGAGGTGCACCGCATCTCGCCGGAGTGGTACGAGGCCCCGAGCGGCCCCGTCGCGTGTCCCTGCTCTGGGCCTCCTCGATCGTCGATTTTCGATGCTCGAGCCTCGATGCTCGAGCCTCGATCCTCGAGCCTCGGTCCTCGCTCGATGCTCGATCCTCGACTCGAGGCTCGATGCTCGAATCTCGAGCCTTGATCCTCGATCCTGGATGCCTCGTCCCAGAGACGGTCTGTTCGCGTTGTGTCGACCTGGGGCGACCCCGCCGCGGGCATTCTGCGTTGGGCGCCGCCGGCGACCCAGAATCCGTAGATGCCGAACGACCTGACGTTTCGGAAACGGTCGATCGTTCAAGGTAGAACGATCCCCGCGATATCAACAAACACATTTCCAGGGTCGGCACGACACGAACCTGAGTTTAGCTGGGGTCGGAGGATCGCGCCGCGTCGCCGATGCATCGGCGATGCAGCGTTTTGATGTGGCGTTCGATGTTCTCCACGCCGCTGCATCGCCGACATCGCCCATGTAACGATCCCCGATGCATCGTCGATGCGACGCCGATGCATCGGCGATGCATCGGCGATGCGGCGATACCCTCCGACCCCATCCACTCCGATCCCATCTGGGAGGCCTCTATGAGGTCCCCAGGCGTCCAGCGTTTTGGAAAACAACGAGACGGAGTTTTCTGTTTTTGGCCCCAGGGTTTGAGGATTGACGTTCGCGGATCGCCGGAGTGGTGCGAGGTCCGTGCTGCGGAAAGTCGGATGTTGCCAAGCCCAGGCCTCTTGTCGCTAAAAAGCACGATGGGTTTCTGTTGTATATTCTATTCTAGTTTTCGGAATCTGGGGGCCCTCCCCGAGCTCCGGGACCGTCAACCAGCAGCTCGGGATGGAAAACCCGCCATGGGGAAGGGGCCCAGGGGGTCCACGGAAACACGACCCAACTTCGGAGATCTTGGGGGGGAAGGAGAAGAGGAAAGGGAGATGAGGAAGGAATGGGAAGAGGGATGGGGAGAGGGAGAATTCGGCAACGACGATGTCTAGTTTCGGCCGCCACAGTGAGTGCCATCTCGTGGCCTCTTGGGGCTTCTCAGAGCGTCCTTTTTTGAAGCATTTTTTAAAGCATCAAACCTTCCTGTTGGATTGCTGTAGGAAACGCACCGGGGGTTCTATATGGAAACCCGGTGGGTATTCTTTTGGGTTCCACTCGAAAGCAATAGGAACCGTCTTTCTTGGAAACCCATCAGAACCAGATTGGCAACTACGGAAGATATCGCATTGAAATAGCATCGGAATCTTTTCTTTTTCGATCCACACGGGCATATTACTGGGATCCCACCAGGACCCACATGTAACTCGAGAAACACCTGTCCTCTTTGACCCATATTGTGCCCCGATTGGCGTCCTATTGTTATCCGTGTGGTGTCCAAAAGGAGCCATTGGAACCCAATGGAAATCCAAAATCCAATCGAGATCCCCATCACAGGCTGGTGACAGGACTGGACGGGTTAAGTTGTTTTTGCATCCATGCCCTAAATCTACATCGTTTCATTGGAGCCGCATAACCTTTTGCCTGAAAATCCTGCTCCTTATGGAAACAGGGAACAACCATCATTCGCATCGGAAGACGCAGAGGAACACGCGCGCTCCCAGAGCGGAAATGCCGCCAACAAGTCGGTGGTACATTTCCAGTATTTACGTGCGGAGCTCACAATTTTACCATCATAGACATGCTTTCGCCCTCGCGCCTCATCGTCTGGCAACGACGCAACCGTATGTGTTCGCACGTGCGGAAGCATGCGCACCCAGGAAAGCGGACATGTGGCCAAGCAATCATTGGTAAATTTTCAGCCAATTCATATGGATTTCACATTCTGTTTTTGCATCAAAAGTTATGTTTGTCATCGCCCCCATCGTCTGACAACAGCAGAAAACATGATGCCTGCACGCTCCCGGAAGCATGCGTACCCAGGAGGGTGGACATGTTGTGAAGAAATCGATGGTTCAGTTCTAGCCGAGGCACGTTGTTTTCAAGGCGTGTTTGACATCGCAGACAACCTTAGTCCTCGCGCCTCATCGCCTGGCAATATCAAAACCGTATGTTTTCGCATTCGCGGCCGCATGCGTACCCAAGAGGGCAGTAGTGTGGACACGAAACCGGTGGTAACGTTCTAACCAATACAGGTGGATTTCAACTTGCGTTTTTTTGTATCATCGGCCACGTTTGTCCTCGCGCCTCATCGTGTGGCAACGGCGCAACCGCATGCGCTTGCAACTGCGAGCGTGCGTGCCAAGGGGGGGCGGACATGTTGCCAAAAAATCGGTGGTAACATTCGAGCCATTGCGTGTGGATTCCACTATGTTGTTTTTTGCCTGTCAGACAACTGTTGCCCTCGCGCGTCATCGCCTGGCAAGAACAAGACAATATGTTTCTGCATCCGTGGAAGCATGCGTACCCAGGAAGACAGAAATATGGCCAAGAACCCGGTTGTAAAACTCAAGCCACTGCGTGTGGCTTTCCCGCAGGCGTTTGCATCATAGGCCATGTTTACCCTCGCGCCCCATCGTCTGGCAATTGCATAACTGCATGCCTGCGCAATTGCGGAAGCATGCGTACCCAGGAGGGCGGAACGTGCACAAGAAATCGTTGGTTAAATTCCAGCCAGTGCATGCATATTTCAAATTGTGCTGTTTGGCATCGCGAGCAGTTTTTGTTTTCGCCTTGCAGAGGCTTCAGAGCGCTCAGGCGCTCGGAGGCCTCTGCCAAACGCCTAGGCGCCCAGAAGCTTTTGCAAAGCGCCCAGGCGACCGGAAGCTTTTACAGAGCGCTCAGAAGCCTCACAGCGCGCTCAGGTCCTCAGATGTCTTTGCAATGAGCTCAGGCGCTCAGAAGCATCTGCACAGCGCCCAGGCGTTCAGAAGCCTCCACGGAGCGCTCAGGCCCTCATAAGCATCCGCAGAACGCTCAGGCGCTCAGAAGTCCTTGCAGCGCGCCCAGGCGCCCAGATGCCTCTACAACGCGCTCAGGCGCTCAGAAGCCTCCGCAAAGCGCTCAGGCGCTCAGATGATTCTGCTGATCGTTCAGGCGCTCAGAAGCTTCATAAGCCCCTGCAGAGCGCGCGCGCTTTTGTGAAGGCTGGTTGTAAAGTGGCCGCTCTGGTTCCAAAGGGCCCCGTCTGGGTTGTGAACTGGCCGTTATGGTTGTAAAGTGGGCTGTTCTGGTTGTAAAGTGGTCGCTACCAGAAGGAAAGCCAGCGAATTCCATAGTTTGCTGGTTGTAAAGAACCAATCTCGGATGCAAGGTGTCGTCCGGGTTGTAAAGAGACCAAATTTCGGGCAGAGGGCCACGGCTTGGTGGGCGAGCAGGCCAAGGGGCCTGGACCAGGGGTGCGAGAGAGCCACAGCCCGAGGGAGGCAGGCCGAAGGAGGGGGTGGTGGTGGAGGCGGGAGGGGGGCCACGAACGAACGAACGAGCGATTGACGAAGGACCGAAAACCAACGGTCGGGGGGCATTCGGCCAGAGGGAGGCGGGTCGCGTGGCCCTGGGCCAGGAGGGAACGGGCCGCGGCCTGAGATGTGGCACAGGGCCACACAGGCCAAGGGTCTTGGACCGGGGCGGAGAGAGCCACAGCCTTAGGGGCCAGGGGCGGGAGGGGCATCGGGGGACCACGCTTGAACGAACGAGGATCGAACGGTTTGGGGGGAAGTCGGGGGTGGCCACGGCCAGAAGGAAAGGGGCCGCGTGGCCCCAGGCCAGCTTGGCCCGAGAGGGGGCAGAGGGCCACCTCCCTGATGGGCAGGCCAAGGCGCCAGCTGGGGATAGAGCCACGGCCTGAGGGGAGGCAGGCCAGGGACCAGGGGGCGGCCACGAACGGAGGAACGGGAACGGACGAGAACAAAGATGCCCGAGCTCCAGAGCACTGCTGCGTCAGAGAATCTGGTTCCCAGGCTCCGACAGGGGGCCACACGCGAACCCTACCCCTACCCCCCACGATTTCTGAGGAGGAGGGTGGGGTTCACTTCGCTCGGGGGCTCCCGAACAAAGTGAACCCCACCCTCCCCCTCAGAAATCGTGGGGGGTAGGGGTAGGGTTCGCATGTGGACCCCTATCCGACGCTGTGAGTTGCTGGCGACGTGGGCACCCTGCGCGCCTCCACGTACCAGGCTCTGCAGCCCCAGCCGTTACTTGACGGCCATGGGGCTTGGCGAGGGCCCCCGGAGGCCGAGATTGGGGAACACCAGCTCGTGGCGATGCTCCCCACGAGACGGAGGAGGAGGCCCGTGTCCGCCGTGCCGCCGCTCTGGCTCGCGCCGGGACTGCCGCAACCGAAGGGGCCGGCGGCAGGGCGCGGACGTGCACCGCGCTGGCATGTCGTGGCTGCTGGTCCAGGGCTCGTCCCGGAAGCCCGGCAGCGGAGACGGAGACGTGCTCAACCGCCTCAGGTCGAGGGGGCGCCCAAGAGGGACCGCGAGGAGGAGGCAAGAGAGTTGTCGAAAGCGTTCGGAGGTGTTCGGGCGGTTTCGGAGCCCGGGGTGGTGTCCACCAGCTGCGCCTCGTCAATAGGGCCTTCCAGGGGTGCCGGAATCGTCCCCGGCAGCCGTCGGAGAGCCGAGCTATGGCCCGAAAACCACGGGGAGACGCCAGGAAGGATCGTAGGCGCTGGGGGAAGGTTGGGCTGCACGTAGGAGTGGCCTGCCGCTGGGGTGACCTTTGATGCGGGCCCAATGGGGGCCTCCCAATCGCTGAGCGCGAAGCGGTGGCAGCGTCTCGCGCGCCCGGGCTTGCCACCCCGCGCCCCCGTGACGCCGCATACCCAAGGCCACGCTTGCCCAGGGTTAAGTAAGTCGGGCAGGCCCCTCTACAGGAGGAATATTCAAGAATACCCCACAATGGTCTGGGGACGATTTCTCGAGGAGGAGGAGGAGGAGGAGGAGGAGGAGGTTTGCTCACTTTTGCTTATGCTTGGACTCTTTTTGCATTCTTCTGTTGCGCGTGGTCGAGGGTCGGCGGCGCTCCCGGAGGGGGGTAATTCCGTGAGACGGGGCGGGCCTTCGCAGACGGCGCGGACGCCCCTTCGGAGAAGTCCCCCACGCCTTCCCCGAAGACATGGGCAACTTCTCAGAACCGAAGACGGAAAACGCCCAAAACATCAACGTTTGGTGCTCCGCGCGGATTTCTCGGATCCGCGCGGAGCGCCAACAGTTTATGCTTGCGGCGTTTTTTCTTCTTCTGCAGAAGTCGCGAGGGTTTCTGAGAAGTCCCGCCGCCTTCTGAGCAGGCCCTCTCATTCTTCTCAGGAGGCGCCAGGGCTTCGAGAAGTCCCGCGGCCTTCTGAGGAGGCCTTCTCCTTCTCGCTTCTCCCCTGGCCCTCGCCCACCCCTCTGGGGACCCCATGGCTGCGGGAGATCGCGCGGCGCCACGCGATCTCCCAGACCTCAGGGCCCCCCCTCTTTCTTCCCCTCGCCCCCCCTCCCCCCCTCGTCCGCGCACGCGCCTCGGGCCACAATGCGCTGACCTGCGGGCCTCCCGACATGGGGCTGGGGTTCGGAGGAGAAAAGAGGCGCCCTTATAACTCTACCCGCCCCTCATCTTCCCCTTCTTGGGCCTCCCGGGAGGGCCTCGTCGCCACCGCGGGATTCGCCTCGAAATCCTGGTCAGAACGCACTCCAGGAGAGGTCCCGGGAGTAGCGGCATCGGTACCTTTTTGGTTTCTCGAGGCGTTGACGGGGTCGGAGGATCGCAGCATCGCAGATGCCTCTGCGATGGGGCTCGAGGCGAGGCCAGATGTTCTCCCCGCCGACGACGCCGACGCAGCGGCGATGCATCGGCGGTGCGGCGCGATCCTCCGGCCCCACTGGCGCGACGCAACAAGAACGGTGTCGTCTGCGCCGATGTTGGCGCCTACGCTGCCCGCGTGATGTCGTGCGTGATCGCTCTTGTCTCCAACGCAGCGTGCCGCGCTGGCGGCCCGCGCAAGCCTCCGCGAAAGGTCGCTACGTCATCTCGCGTGAGACCCGCTTTTGATCGTCGCTCCTTGGGGATCCTTTTCTCCTGGAGTGCGTTCTGGCCAGGACTTCGAAGCGAATCCCGCGGTGGCGACGAGGCCCTCCCGGGAGGCCCAAAAAGGGGAAGATGAGGGACGGGTAGAGTTAGAAGGGCACCCGTTTTCATCTCCTCCGAATCCCAGCCCCATGTTGGGAGGCCCGCAGGTCAGCGCATCGTGGCCCGAGGCGCGTGCGCGGACGAGAGGGGGAGGGGGGGCGAGGGGAAGAAAGAGGGGGGGCCCTGAGGTCTGGGAGATCGCGTGGCGCTGCGCGATCTCCCAGACCTCCTGCCCCCCCCCCCCCCCCCCCACCCCTACCGGGAGGCCCCCCAAAAATGGGAAGACGAGGGACGGGAAGAGCTAGAGGGGTACCTTTTTGTTCCCCTCCTCCGGACCCCGGCCCCATTGGGGGAGGCCTACGCTGCCCCCCCCCCCCCTCTGCCCGGCCCTTCTTCGTCCCTCCCCCCGACCACGCGCACGAGAGCGGCCCCTGCGCCGCCGCAGGGGCCGCTGCTGCTGCGCGCACCCCCCCCCCCCCCCTCCCCATGCCCCCCCCCCGCGGCGCGAGAGGGGCTGCTTGCGCGCTTGGGCTTGGCCGCCTCGCGCTGTGAACAAATCCTCCTCCTCCTCCTCCTCCTCCTCTCCTCCTCCTTCCTCCTCCTCCTCCTCCTCCTCCCCCTCCTCCTCCTCCGTTTCCTCCTCCTTCCTCCCCTCCTCCTCCTCCTCCTCCTCCTCCTCCTCCTCCTCCGCGCACCGAAGGTCGCTCTTGCCCAGGGCCAATCTTGCCTGCATCGGCTGCGAGCGAGGGGGGGGGAAGTGAGCAGGAGGAGGCCTTCTCAGAAGGCTCGGAAGTCCCCAGGCCTTCTGCGGAGTTGTCCAAGCCTCCCCCGAAAACATAACACATTTCTGAGAAGGCGCGAGGGCTTCTGAGAAGTCCCGCCGCCTTCTGAAACCAGGCATGCGACGTCTTGATTTTTTCAGAACGGCGTCCCTGAAAGTCCCGACCCTTTCCCCGGGACCGGTTTTTCGTCCTGAGTCGTTATTTTTGACGGTCTCGAGGCCCGGCAAGGGCCCCCCAGGGCCGAAAAGAGCCCAAAACTTCCCGTCCTGATTTTTTTTACGACGCGATCATGTCTGGGAGAAGGCCTTCTCCTTCTCACTTCCCCCCCCTCGCTCGCCGCCGAGTGCAGTCGACCCCTCTTCGGCTCGGCCGCCTCAGGCTGGGGAGGTCTCGGCCCTGCCAGGGCGGCGCCGCGCCCGTGGCCGCTGGCGCCGGCGCCTTCGAGGCGCCTCTGCGCGCACGCCCGAGGCGGGGCGGTGACAGACGTACACAGTCAGCTCCTCCGCCTCCTCCTTCTCCTCCTCCTCCTCCTCCTCCTCCTCCTCCTCCTCGTCCTCCTCCTCCTCCTCCTCTCCTCTCCTCACTTCTATCTCCCTCCCTCGCATCTCCTCCTCTCCTCCTCCTCCTCCTCCTCCTCTTCTCCGCCTCCTCCTCCCTCCTCCTCATCACTCATCATCTTCATCACTCCCCCGTCCTCTCGTCATAACGCGTGCTGCGGCCGCTGCTTCTCCCTTCCCGCCTCTTCTCCTCTCTCTCCGTATCATGGCTCCTAATGCGACAATCCCTGCCTTCTGCTCATCCTGTCATATGGTTGTCACACTTCATGAAAAAGAATGGAACTGAGACAATCGTGGCCCGCTACTGTAACCAAGCTAGAATGGTAATGATACTGCATTCATCATCTCATCATCATCCATAATCCATCATATCATCATCATGTTCCATCATCTCATCATTTATTCGCATCGTTCAACTACTCTTTGTAATAATTCGAATCGTTGCCTCTCCTACTAACTCTGTTGAAGCTGCCTTATGCATCGCTCCTCTACGCTCTCCTCTCCTCCTCCTCTCCTTTCCTCCTCCTCTCTCATCTCCTCTCCTTCCTCCTCCTCCTCCCAGGGCCACCGTCCCAGGTGGGCCCAGTATCGGTGCCCCAGACCTCGTACTTCAGTCATGACGGCAGGCTTTTGCCCAGTTTGGGCCTCGGGCCGCCCCCGCCGAGGGCCCCTGGGGCTGCCGAACAAGGCTGCCCGGGCTGACGATCTGGTCGAGGGGAAGGGGCCTATGGACCTCTCTCGGGGGCGGACAAGAGGGGGGGGATGACTAGGGGGGGGGACATCATGGCGGGGGCCATGATATTTCCCAGATTTCATGGCGCTTTCTTGTTTCATTTTACGTCCCTGGCCCCCCCGCTGAGCCGCGCACATGCCGCCGGTCATGATTTGCACGCCCCCCCCCTCTTGGACACCCCCCTCTTGGCCGCTCCCGATTCTCTTGGGGTTCACACGGTGAAAAACACACGACCTCGAAGACTTGGATGTTGATCGTTTTCTTGTTCATAGTTTTGCCGATCGGCGCGGGCCCTCGCACCCTCTCCCCCCCCTATGGAGCAGATCTTGGCTGTCTTTGGCGCCTGTTTCGAGCAGGCGGAGTCTCTCTCGTAGGACGCACTGTTGCAAACAGTCGCATTGAGGAGAGGTCCAGAGCCAGACCCCCCCCTCTCCCTCCCCTTCTGCCCATGTCGAAACGCCGAATGAGCAAACGTTCCAGTCCTGGGCCCAGGATAGCCTGGCCAAGGCAGGTGTGTATGCACAGTTGGCGTCTCCCTGCCGAGGCCCCCGGGCGAGCCCCCCGCATCGTCGTCGGCAGCCGCGGCTCCTGGTCTGCCATCCTGGGTGACGGTCGGTCGCGATGCAGGAAGCACAGACCTCCGTCTCCGACGCTGTGCCTCTACAGGGGCTTAGGCCGCCTCCGCGGGGCCCCCGATTTGGGCCTGGGGGTGGCATCAAAAGTTGATGCGGGGCCAAAAACGATTCCCTGGGGTGGGGTCGAGACCTCTGGGAAGCGCGGCTAGGAAAAATGGCACCCCTGCGGCAGAAAATCCTGAGCAGTTTGGCACGGTTGCACGTCGGGGGGTCGCGATGACCAGGCGTTCAGGCATCGTAGAGAAGCCCCAGGGCCCGCCGCCTTGCAGACTCCCTCATGGCAAGGTCGGGGCCACGCTCATGTACAGGTCCAGGACTTCGGGCAGCCGCATGCCGGTGACCGTGAAGGAGGTGGAGAAGGAGCGGGTGCTCATCTTGTTTCAGGGGGACGGCACCACATGGAAGCGCATCGAAGGCCTCTCCGGCGAGTCACGTCCGCCCCCCAGGGCCGGAATTCGAATCTACGATGCAGGTAACCGGCAGTTCGTGGAAAGGCAGGGTGAGGGGGCCCAACGGTCATTCATTCTCCTCGGGGGCGTGAGTGAAGTGGCATGCAGTGGCCTGGATTATTGTTGTTTGTTGTTGTCGTCGTCCTCGCCCGCGTCCCACTCGCGACCCACCCGCGCCGCGACCCACCCCGCGACCCACCCCGCGACCCACCCCGCGCCCGCCCTCCCACTCTTATCAGCAACTGCGGGATGCTACATAGTGAAGCCTTGTGGGCTACACGTGTTTTTTTCCACAACCTCGACCCCCACATGTCTGGAACCCTTCCCTGAGACATGTTTTTCACCCTAGGTCGTTTTTTGACGGTCCCGAGGCCCGGTAAGGGCCCCCAGAGGCCGAACATCGCAAAACACCTCCAGTCGTGATTTGTTCGCAACGCGAGGGTGTCGGGGTTTATGTTCAGCTTTTCTTCTGTTTCCATTTTCAGCGATCTCCCATATGAGCAGCTCAAAAAATAAACGCATGATACGGACGAGTCTCTTTCCGAGGGTACAGTCGACCATCTTATCAACAACCTCCTCCCGAGAAGCAAGGCCAGCGTTTCTGGGCCACCCTGCCGGGACGCTGGCGCAGTCTCTTGAGCACGTTCGCCCCTCCAGCGTTAACAGAAGACACTTGCTCCTGTTTTGTTTGAAGCAACTTCCGAGACGCTGGCCCCGATGTCTCAAAGGATAGTGTTCTTGATGGTATGTCCGGCCGTACCCTCACGTTGTTCCAACCTGCTTCAGCCTTGGTCGCCAGAAAGAATTTCGAGCATCAAGAAGGCACTGAAGCTGGAGGGTTTTCACGTGTCGGGCCCCGGGAGGTGATACTCGCTCCACGCGGTTTCGATGCCTTTACGGGTGCTCGCACTTCTTCCTTGGACGTGGTCCTTGGGGGCACTGTGACTGTGCCCCTGCATCCTTGCCTCTCGGCCCGCCCTGGCCCTGGTCCGTGGGCCACGTGCTTTCCCACCTTGGCTTCACTGGGGGCGTCCAGGGGGCGCTGCATCCCGACCGCGCAGGCTTGCGCTCTGGTCGCATCGCACAGCTACGCGCCGGTCGTTGAAAGCAGGTACTTTGGGATATCCAGGTCGCAGTCTGCGTTAGCCGCCTACCTACTTTGAGAGTCGAGCGGTTTTCCCTATCTTCCCTGCTCTTCAGGGGGCGGGCGGAAGCCCACTCTGCTTCCAACGCCGTCCTACTTCATGCTTCCACCCACTCCTTCTTCCGACCGACGGGTGCCATCTGGTCGCACCGTACAGCTACTCTGGCGGGCCGAATACCATCTACCTGACCGCCAGTCTATATTTTATGCTTCTACCAGCTTCTCCCAGATGGCCTGTACTGGGGATGGCGGGGGGCTTGGCAGCAGGGTACGAAGGGTTGTGGAGAGGCTCGTGAGAGTCTGACCAGAGAGGTGGACACAGTACGTGGTGCGCTCGTTAAGCCTGCGGGCATGCCACCAATCCAGACATTCGACGTCGTGAGTGTCTGTTTCACAGACCTTTCGACACCGCAGATCTTTCGACACCACTCCCCCAGGACCTTTCTCTTCGTGCCGCCCCGGGTCGTCCCGAAGGCCCCGCGCCCCGAAGACGGGAGACGACGCGTCCTTCGTGCGTTGCTGCCGTTGCCGCGCCGCCCAGAGGCGCAGGGTCCGCCCTCCATCTGGCCGCTCCGGCTCGACATGTCCCTTCCGGCGGGCCCGCTCCGACTCGACTCCGACACTCGGCGGCGGCCCGAGCGCTGTGCGGCGGCGGCGCGGCGTCGGCGACGAGCGCGGCCCTCCTCCGCCGCCCCGCTTAGCCCTCCTCGGCCGCGCCTGGGGCCTGCGAGGGCGGGGGGCACGCTGGCTCGAGGCCCCGCGGGGCCTTCAGGCCTGGCCGAGGCCCGCGCGGCTCCCCCAGCGCGCCGCGCGCAGCACTCGAGCACTCAAGGCACAGTGGAGGTCGACCGGTGTAGTCACCACCCACCGAACCATATCAACCCAACCCGAAGGCCTCCATTTGCCCTCCATTTCCAGTGGGGAGGGGGTCGGGGAGCAGTGAAAAAACACGTCTGGAACCCATACCCCCCCCCAACCCGAAATTTGGGGCCTCGGGTCGGGTTGGGGTGGTCTGGTAGGTAGTCATGTACAGGCTGGCGCCCCTGCCCGCCCCAGAGCTCACCCGAGGCGGCGGAGGCGCGCACTGCGGTGACCAGCTCCGTGGGTGCGGGCTCGAGTCGGGCGGAACAAAAATACTTGAGGGCGGCGGATGCGAGGCAAGCGAAGAGCTCTTTTGAGCCGAGGGTGCACAGTCCAGCTTGCCTGGCCCAGGACGTGTCGAAAGACTTCAGGTCCGAGCCTCGGTGGCTACAGAGTGCGCAGCGCACACATGCATGCATGAACACCTGTCCAAAGCAGATTCCGCATTGGACCTCACCCGAGGGCCAGCGCCAACGTCACAGCCGTCCTGCCCGAGAGGGTCGCTCTGAAAGCCTCCCCCTCTGCAGTCCTCCGAGCACTTCGGACCTCATCTGAGGGCGGTAGGCACGATGATACCACAGAGCTCTCGAGCCAGTGCTGCTCAGCCGTTTCCTGCCTGTCTCTGGGGCGTGTCTGCAGACTTCCCTCGACGGCCGCGGGATGCGCGGCCTGGCCACAGAGAGAAAGAGAGACAGAGAGCCTTGCCTGCGAGGGATCGAGAATTTCATCAGCGCACACCAATGGAAGTAATCCTATGGCCCTTACAAGGGAGTCGTTGAACGCAGTGCCGGGGCACTTCTCTGAACAACGCGGCCACTGCTCTGCCGGGGTCTTTCATCAACGAACACCAGTGGAAGTAGCAGATATGCTGGTTCGACTGCGGCCCCGACTGCTCTGGCCTGGGGAACGGATGGCTGAGCACACTGAGCCGGCTGGCAGGGGGAAAACGGAGCCCCGCGTCGCCACCAAGGAGCGCGCGAGTAGAGTATCGCCGGGCTCATGTCGTGGACCCCCCCCGGCGCCGCTGGCGTTCGGCGCCAAGTTGAATCTGAAGTAGAAGCCTGCCGTCCAAGAGGTGCTGACATCTGCGGACTCTCCTCCTCCTTCTCCCCCTCCTCCTCCTCCGCCTCCTCCTCCTCCTCCTTCTCCACCTCCTCTCCTCCTCCTCCTCCTCCTCCTCCCTCCTCCTCCTCCTCCTCCTCCTCCTCCTCCTCCTCCTCCTCCTCCTCCTCCTCCTCCTCCACCTCGGGGCTTCTGGAGCCGCCTTCGCACATCCCCGCTACCCTGGGCGGCCATTACCCACGCAAGAGATCTCGCAGGCAAGAGACACCACCTGCCGCATCTCGTCTGGTGCCCCTGCCCCTTCCCCAGACATGATCGCGTCGTAAAACAAATCTGGACGGGATGCCTTTGGCTATTTTCGGCCCTGGGGGGCCCTCGCCGGGCCTCGGGACCGTCAACAAACGACTCAGGACGAACAAAAAGGTCCTGGGGAAAGGGTCGGGATTCCCAGGGACGTCGTCTTGAAAAAATCAGCACGTCGCATGTCTGTGTCTCGTGCCTCAACTGCGGGTCCCAAGAAAAGACCACCACCACCTCCATTCCCCCTCCCTCTCTACTTTCCTCTTTCCCTACTCCTTACTGGGAGAGGGAGGGGGTGAGGGAGGTGATGGTAGTGCATATTTTTTGCCCCCGTATCACCTGGTGCCCCTCCCTCGGCACAGCAGCACGACGGTTGGAAGTCCTAGCCTCGGGGTCTTAAGCCTCGCCTGGAAGTCTGAGCCTAGACATCCGCCCATGCTGTTTTTGCAATCCGCCCCTCCGAGGAGGAGGAGTCGGAGTCGGAGTCGGAGTCAGAGGAGAAGGAGGAGGAGGAGGAGGAGGAGGAGGAGGCGGAAGGGCCATCGGGGGCCCAAACCGCCGCCGCCCTCCTGCGGCCCTCCGGGGCCACAGGGCTGGCGGCTTCGCGGGCTGGCCCCAGGCGCGCGCGTGCGTTCGCAGGTCCTGCCGACCGCGCCGCGATGGAGCCTCGTCATGTGGCACGGCCCTGGCAGGACGCTCATGGTGCCTCGCTCGGCACGCAGAGCGTGGAGCCTGTGAAGCAGCAGCAGCAACAGCAGAAGAACCCCTGGGCCCAACAGGTCCGCCTCGCGCGGAAAGCGCGCCAGGTGGCGACGCAGCGGGCAGCGAGCCATCAATTGCAGTCTCAACGTCAACTCATCTCCGATCTGCAGTGCCAATTGCGAGCGTGGCACCAGTGGTGGCAACAAGCGCATCATGAGCCTTTTTGGGGACAGCGCTGGATGCCAGAAGACATCAGCTACAGCGCCGAAGCGGACGACCCCTGCGGGAAGGGCGGGCGTCGCCCCAGGCAGCTGGCGGAAGCAACGGCAGTGGCAGCAGCGGTCAAGAATCAAGAAACAATGGCAGGGGACGGCAGTGGCAGCAGCAGTCCAGAGTCAAGACTCAAGGAAGCAACGGCAGTGGCAGCAGCGGTGAAGAGTCAACACTCAAAGTGGACTCAGCCATGCGCGAGAGAAAGGAAGGCGAAGATAGAGCCCGACGCGATCATCTACGGTTCAGGGATCAGGGCAAGCTTGAGGCGACCTCGGGAATTGGCGCTAGGAATGGAGTACAGTCGTCATTAGCTGCAGGCGCGGCCGCCCGTGCGCGTGATGTGGCGCCAGCAACAGCGCCAGCGAAGCTGGAGGGCGATGACACAGGCCATCTGGAGGACAGAGCCCAGACGCCATCGCAAACACATCACTGTGAGAAGCAGGCGGTGAGGATGGAGCCCCTCACCAATAACCTAGCCGAGGACCCAGCCAACACGTGCGAGACGAAGGAAGGCGAAGATAGAGCCCGATGTGATCATCTACGATTCAGGGGACAGGGCAAATGTGAAACGAGGGGCACGGCAGCGGCAGTGGCAGCGGGCAAGAGCGGCAACATCACTACGCCATCAGTTACCGGCGCTGT